TATGCCACCATCTAAATGCGCATCTCTAGATACTTCTCCCTAGAATAGGGGAGAGTTATTTGGAAAAAGCTTTTCTTCTAACTTGACTCTTGATTATAATAGCCAAATTATTCCTGTCATACCAGTTAAACAGATACCATTGTTAAACATCAAAATCACTCTGACTTATGATCTTATAATTTTAATCCATCTTCATGTTTTTCCTTTTTTTATACAATCTGCAACATATTACGTTTACAGTTAACCATTTTCTTTCTTTTTTTTAAGAAACTGATAATTTTATAGTGGTTGCATCCTTGTTGGAAGTAAAATGGAGATTGAAAATATATAAATATATGCCAGTATTTAATAAATAGTTAATGTAAGTTTAAAATTAAAATTTATAAAGTGTTATAACTATTTTTTTAGCCTTATAAATCAACCTCTGCTACCCCTTATAAATTTGCGCAGACTAAATAGTAGGCGGGATTGACATAACGGTAGCGTTCACTGTACAGTAAACCGTAACAAAAAATGTACAGTGCTTGCTGTCTAGCTGCTAAGCACTGCTCAACAATTTCTACCGGCTAGGCACCAAACACTTAACTCAGGCAACATGTACTAACGGCGAAGAAAACGTTTGTAAAGAATATATTTAATTTTTTTGTAAAATGTAAAAAATAAAGACGTTTTGTCCTCATTTTCATGTCGTTTATTATTAAATGCCCATATTTCAATAACAGCGCATTTTACACCCTAAGGATACAAAATAAGCTATTACTTATTAATTTGATTCATATATATATATATATATATATATATATATATATATATATATATATATATATATATATATATATATATATATATATATATATATATATATTAATTAAAACCTTATTTAAACAATTAAATCTATCAAGTATTATTAGGTTAGTAAATATGACTAAAAAGTCAAACATAATTTGTGAGCTAACTACAATGCCTCCAAAATCTCATGATGGAAACCGTGTCAGTTTGTGCAATTTGTTTTTGCACAATAGGGGAAAAAGCAGAAAAGTTATTAATTCACAAGAGCTTGAACTAAAAATTAATTTGGTGTCAAGCTGTTTACTGCAAGATTCAAGGTTCCCATCTGGGCTTTGAGTTGACTGCAGATTGGAATTAAACAAGATAAAAAATGGAGATTCTACAGTCAATCTAACAATAGCAAAGAACTATGTTCCAGAGCTAAAAAATTATAACAGTTATAACATTTATATATAAAATCATAACTTTTATTCTTCAAAATTTACCGAACTTTTATAGAAAACCTACGTTTGAAAAATTAATACTTTTAAAGGGTTTGCGTAAAAAGGGTAACTATTTTGTAGACTTTATTTAACTTTTATGTTGCGAATATAAGGAGTAGCTGGAGAAGTTGAAGTAGGTTGACGAGTAGGAATAAGAGGAAGTAGAGGAGTATATGTTGTTTATTTTGGGAAGGATTTTTAATGTAATGTTACAGTTGGTTGTAAAAGTAACATTTAAAGTTGTGCATCAATTGAATTACAAAAAAAATATAAAACATAATGGTAATAATATGGTATGACAAAGTTAACACCTATTTATAAATTTAATCAATACAAATGTCCCTCTCCATAATTTCTGTAAACAAACTTTTAGTTTTTCTATAAAAATAAATTACTATTAAAGATTTATCTTTTTTTATCTTTATTTTTATTTTTTTTGGAATTATTTGCCAGCAACCAGAAGAATAAATCTAACAATTTAATATTGTTTCCCACGCCCATCTGCTCACACTGCTTTACCAGTATCTAGAGTCGATCAAACAATTTAAAAGATAAAAGTAAACTAAGATTGGAAAAATTAACCAATATTAAAGACCTATTTGATCCCAAACTGGCTGAACAAATCAGCTTTAAAACTATAAACATAAAGAAAGGATCAGGTAGTTCAATCATCTCTATTAGGTCTCCTAATGGTGGAAAACCTTTGATGCTATTGTTGGAAGAGAACGCATCAAAACTATAGTTGAAAGATTTCTGACTATAGAAAATGTCTCTACAACAAAAAACTAGGCTAACTGATCATCAAGTTATTTCAGTTCTGAAAACCTTGAGACTTAAATGAAGATGGTACTGTATTGTTCCTCGCATAAAGAAGGCTATAAGGGATCAGAAAGCTATCTTTGGAAAATTATTTGCTCAGGAAGTAACTAAATTTTAAGACTTTAATGGGAAAAAAATAGTCCAACCCTTTATCTGCAGTTCCAATATCTTGGAAATTGTAGAAAAACTAGCATATCTTAGGTGATCATAAACATTTTTGGTTTTTTAAGATTTAATATTAATTATTTTAATCTGAATGATAAATATTTATATTATATATTAACTTGCAGAGAACAGCTTTTTTTAAAGATGGCTTTAAAGTTCGGCCTCGAATTTGGAAAAGGACATCTAAAGCTAACTATTACACTATATGATTCAGATAATTTAACATTCATTAAACCTTCTAGTAAAGAAACCAGGAAAAAAGGTATTGGTTCAAGTAAAAACATCTTTAATCCTCCCATGCTACTGCTTTTAACTTATGTTTTTATTTTTACTCTTCCTTACATCTCAGTTAAAATGACACACTTAAAGGTAATGACACACTTAAAGGTAATGACACACTTAAAGGTAATGAGTGTTCTAAAGTTCTAAGACTCCTTGATAGATTTGAGAAAGTACTTACTAAAGAGCTGTCTGCTTTTCGGAATACTTGCATGATTTTCTAAAGGTCATTGCCTCTACATTTTGAGTGTCTGTAGATCCTGAATACATGAATGTTTTTAAAAATCTAAAGAGGTCTTTACAGGAAGAGCTTGAAGTACCTGAAACCCCTAAGCTTTATGTAATACTCACACATGTTGAGCAGTTTATCAACATAACAGTAAGGTGTCTTGGATAGTTTTCAGAGAAGGAATCACTATATATTTTATATATATGGGAGTTCAAAACTCACATTCAACATTTTTGGAGGTTTGGGAGCAATACTTAATAAAAGACATTTCTTCACCTAGATATATGAACAACCACTCTAAGGCTATCCTAAACTTTAATTCTAATAATATTTAATTATATAGTCCGCAATTCTATGTTTTTTAAATTATTATATCTATTTAAGTTGAACTTAACTAGATTTAACAATTTAACTAAGCTATATTTTGAATTACTCTAAAAAAAAGATTTCATAGCTTTTTTTTGTTTTGTTTTTTTGGTTTTCTTTTAAAGGGCCATTTCTCAAAATTTCCCCAACAAATGTTTTTTATTTTTTTAATTTTGACACTATACATTAAATTCATTTGTGATATTATTCCTTATTTTGTTATTCGACAATGAATAATGCGACAATTTGCGACAGTATTCCTTTTTCACATTTTTGTCAATCAAATTTGCAACTATAAAAATTTGCGACAATCAAAATTTTGCGACACTATTTCGCCACATCATATGTTTTAGTAAATTTTAAAATTACATAGATTGAAGTTTATGTAAGTTAGATATTTGCGTACGTTTCGCAGACATACTCTTATGAAAAAACTTTAAGAATCTTAAAGCAATCCCCTCTTAAATAGTTTTTACGCGCAAATTATAATTTAAAATAAAAAAATTGGATCCCTTGATACAAGATACCACTTAAAAGAATACCACATATTTTTTGTGTAAATTTTTCTTGTGCTTAAGGCTCGTACTACACACGCATATACATGTTAGAGTCTTTTAAGCGCACAAAGACTGACTTAATTTTAGAAAATTAAAATCTTTTAAAACCAAAACATTTACTAATTGAAGAGAAAAATTAGATTCAAAAAACCTTTTAATATTACAATAATATTAAAATATATCAAATACAAAATCAATATTTATCTTATCTAATTTTTCTTTCAAGAAAACAAAAAAAAAGAAAACCTAATATCAATAAAAAAGCTTTATTTCATTACTACAGCATTAAGAAAAAAAAAACTTTAGGGGTAATTGTTTTTCCATTTTTAACCTTGAATTTTTTGAAACAAGTGTTTGATATTACAGGATCACTTCTAATCAACAGGTATTGGTTCTGGTTTTTCATAACATTTTTTCAAGCTATCTTGGCTGTTTGTTTTAATCTAGCTTAGTTACTGTATGGGTGTATGGTTTAATCTAGCTTAATGAAATTCCTCAGAGTCTCTTGTGACTCTTCAGAGCAGTAACTAATTGGTAGTTCTAATGCCTCAGAAATCTGCACACCATGTTCCAAGAGTTTATGAACAATTAGGGGAATCATATACCACCAATAGTTTTTAAGTATCAAAGCTGTAGTTTCATAGCAATACTGGCCAAAACTTTCAGAGTTTAACTCATAACAGGAGCATTCTGATATTAGGATTGTCATCAATTTAATAATTACATCTAATGCCACACCCGTTATATCAGCGAAAGTTTCAGCATTTTCAAATGTCCTTCTAGCAGTGTTTCCATCATTACCCAGCAAACAAAAAGACATCTTTTAGTTGTCTTAAAAAAGTCTTTTTAAGATTAAAAAAGATGTCTTAAAGAGATCTTGAAAAGGTCTACGTTGTCCGTCGAAAAGACGTCTTACTCAAGATCGCTTAAAAGCGTCTTACTAAAGACCGATTTAAAACGTCTTAATTAAACGGTCTAAAGGCGTTTTATTCAAGACGTCTTAAAGATGTCTTAAAAAGGTCTAGGTTGTCCGTCGAAAAGATATCTTACTCAAGATAGCTTAAAGTCATCTTACTCTAGACAGAATAAAAACGTCTTATCCAAGCGCTTTAAAAGCGTTTTACTCAAGAAGTCTTATTTTAGAAGACTTTTAGGTGTTTAGTTTAGATAAAATTAATGCCGCATTTATTAGAAACATAAATATAGAGGAAAAATAAATTAAAAAAAATAAATTAATTAATAAAATTAAAAAAAAATAAGTTAAAAGGGACATATAATACAATTAGATGGATTTTAATATAAACATATACAATAAAAAATAAATTTTAGTTTCTATTTTTCCGTGATAGAGCATTTTTACAATATCTTCCGATTTGCTGTCTTATATCAGAATTTGAAAACTTTTCCAAACCTTCTTGTTACAATAAATTAAAATTTACAAATACTTGCCAAATAATAAAATGTAAACTTGCCACATAAAATATGCAGTAGTGGTGTAGCGGTAAGAGCGCTCGCTCTGTATGCAAGAGGTTCGAAGTTCGACTCCCACCGCATTTCTGGAAGTACCGCGCTCAACTTAATTTCTCCGTGCAGCGGCCTTGCTCGTCAAGATTCGTGTTTCGGAGTTAAAGAGTTGAGAGAGGGTTGTACCACGATTTACAATAAAAATAAAAAAAATTAAAAAAACTAGTAGCCTCCTCGACTGTAGTGACCCCCTCGGGCTTTGGCGAAGTAAATAACTGGAAAAAAATAAAAAATTTTGACTATCAAAAATCTTAAAAATAATTTTAACTTAACATACATTTTTAATCAAATGCTAAATGATAAAATTTTTTATTATATTAAAACTATTTTTTATTACCTTCTATTACACCATATAGCTTCGCTGATAATAAACCAATTTTTCCACCAGAACCTTTTAAATTAAACTGTGCCAATAGGGTATTTGTAAATAATCTCTATAACATAAGGAATAAGTAATACAATTTATGAAAAATTGCAATTTACCATCCCAATGTAATTATTGGTTGCAATAACTACTATACTTAAAATATATAATTACAACAGAAAAATAAAAAATATTATTGCTCATATAAAAATATAATTAGAAAAACCTATTCATAACCAATCTTGTCAGCTGTTTATAATCTTCTGCACCTAAAAAACTCAGTTGTTTAACCTAAATAAAAAAAAATCAAAACCAAAATAACAAAATTTTTTTATAATAATTATTTTAAATTTACAAAGTTTTCAATATGTAAATATTTTCAATATGTAAAGACAAAGTATTTACCAAATATAGGCGAACTGAATCATCCTCTAAATATTTGACAAAATCTTTGTATTCTGCTATAGTCTCTAATTGCTTAACTGCCAAATTACTATGGGGTTGTTTATTTACAGCAATAATTAGCTCCTGGTTTTCAAGAATTTTTCATACCATCTTGAACATCATATGCTGGTATTCTAAATTATACAATATATATATATATATATATATATATATATATATATATATATATATATATATATATAATATATTATAATACATTGTATATATAATATATAATGTATATAATATATTATTTATTATATATTTATATAATTATTATATAATATATATTATACATATAATAATTATTTATTATGTATATAATATATATATATATATATATATATATATATATATATATATATATATATATATATATATATATATATATATATATATATATATATATATATATATAATTAACATGATAAGATTCACTAATAACCATTTGAGGTAAGATGCAAGTTATTAAATAATAAATGTAAAGTATAAATAAACAAAAAATTTTATTTAAAAAGGTTTCAATCAAATAAATATGATTCATTAATGTTCTATTTCATGCAACAAAGGAAAGCACGCAAGACCTTCTTTCCAAGGTAGAGCAACAACCTTTCGGCAGACACTTTCAACTCCTAACACAAACACTTTTACTTTTATTTCATTAATCTTTGGTACCAAGAAAATTTTAAAGGTTTTAGACAGAATCGGTTGTGTATATAAATCACTTTGTAAATCAAGTTTAAATACATTTAAACTTGATTTACAAAGTGATTTTGTTAACATTTAAAAATCCAGATGGTAATTTCTCATCAATAAAACAAAATTGATTTTCTTCTAGATAAAAGCATGAATTTTTCAGCTTTACTGAAATATTTAGTTTTTGAGATTTTGTATTAAATAAATATTGTAAATTTTGATACTGTTTTGTAATTTGAACAACCAGACTCTTTGAATTTTTCACTGCTTTCTTCAATGTCTGCATATAATTTTTAAAGGGAAAACAAGATATTGTATTTAGTGAACAATCAAATCTAACAACATCATCACAAATATGAAGTAAACAGTGAACATTATAAACACAGAATGATTTTGTATATAAATGTTTTGAATTAGTAACAAAACAATTTATTAGTTTTTTAGCAAATTAAAGATAATGATTTCTAACTTGATTTTCTTCAGTTAAGAGAATCACCATCGCAACATGCAATGTTAGAAAGTGGTTATAAATTTCTTTGCTAACAACACCCTTTAAAACTAAGGGACCAGTGTATAAAATAAATTGCCGGAACTCTGTTGCTTTCCAACGATCTAACTCAAAAAGAGACCGTGGTTGTCGAGCAAATTCAGATGGCATCATACCACGTAGGCTTAATAGATTAGCAGATATTTTTTTTATTTGGGTATTTGAAAGTCTACAATGTTTAGAACCTGACTTTAAAAAGGTAAGTATGCGTCTTACTACTCCAAGACAAACCATGTGCATATAGTCTAAAATAAAATCAGAAACACAAGATATTTGAAGTTGAGCTAAAGGAGTAAGAGATTTCTGATGTGTAGTGTACAAAAAGGTATTAAACTCCTCAGTTGATCTTGGAGTTGATAGGTTGTCATGAATAAAAACCACTCTATGATCCTCATATAATCCTTAAATTTGGCACCGTTCACAAGAGTAATATCCTGTATGACCTTGTATACATTTAAGAAAACAACGAGAAGGTGCATTACATATGATGCTTGCTTTAAGTTTAACATTAATTTTTTTATTATCGTAGTATAAAACTTCATTAGATAAAAATAAAAATTCTTTGATAAAATCATAGAGAAAATCATCTAAGCAGGTTGGTTTACCATTTCCACAGAAAAGTGCAATTATAAAAATTTAGTTCTCTATTAAAACAAGTATTGGCCATAGTTGAAGATTAGAAGATTTAAAAAGAGGTAGTCCATCAACATTAACAGTAATAAATAATTCAGTATTTTGAGAATCTTTTTTTGTATTCAAAAAATAATTTAAGCCATCACCAATGGAGTCTTACTGAAGACGTTTTTAAGACATTTTAAAGAGGGCTATTTAAAATATTATACCGAAAGTAAAAGATTGACGCACTAAAGACGTCATACGAAACCAACCAAATATTTTCTTGTCTTTTTAAAGATGTCTTTAAGATGTATATAATAGGCGCCAAAAAAAGGATTGAAAAAACTGGGTATTAAACGTCTTTAAGACGTCTTTCTCAGACAAGACCATTCAAAGACCTAATGGTCTTAAAGACGTCTTGTGTTTGCTGGGTAGTGTGTGCCAAAACCCTGTTTTTGAGTAAGAGGACAGAGTGTTAGTGCGGGCATTAACCAATTTACCATCAAATAGGGTTAAATCTAGTTTGAACTTAAATGTTGTATCTGGTTTGCCTTCATCTACTTCTAACTTTATTTCAAACCTGACTAGTCTATTAATTTTTGCTTTTAAAAGTTCATATTTAATTCATATCAATTCTTCCATTTCTTTCTGATATTGGAGATGTAGGGGTCTACAGTAGTGTGTAATAGAGGACTTCTTACTTAACCATTCATTTTTATTCATGATGGTTAATTTAAGTGGAACAATAGCTGTCTGGAAAAAACTTTGCTCGTTAACTTGGGTCTCGCCAATATTTGTCTCATTATATTTTTGTTTATAGACATTTTGATTGGAGGCACCATCAAAACTACCTTTAAAGTGAAGTAGACCTTTAAACCTCTCCCCAATTTCAGCAAACGTTCTCAGAGTCTTGGCATTTCGTAAAAGTTAATATCTTTGTCTGAGTATGATTAAACATACCCTTTAGAGGAGTTAAAAAAGATGTTTTCATCACAATTAAACCCTCAGGATAACATTTGTTTTTCTCATTCTTAATTTCATGAAATGAAGGATAAATACGTGCATTATGTATTTTTGATGAATTTCTAATAATTTGATGCTGTTTATTAGAAAGGTCACACTGAATTTTAAAGCTCAATGAATCTTCGGTTTTCATTTTTATAGGAAAATTTATCTCCTTGATTTTAACTTTATCAGAGTTTGTAGCACTTTTCATGAGAACAACAAAATCTTTTTTTTTACGATCTCTAGTGGCTTTTTTATTGAAGTAAATGCCAATGCTTTAGCAGGGTGTTCAGCCAATTTGGCAACCTTAAACAAGATAATATTTAATATTTAAGCTTGTAAACTACTTTTTAAATTGGTTTGAATTTAACTAATTTATTATTATTATATTACGTTAGATCTTCTGCTACTATCGCCTTAATCTTTCTAGTTCTTGCACTTTCTACTTTTAATTAAATAATATTTTCTAACTCTTGAATTATAGGAACTAAATGTATTTGTATTGTATATGTATATATGTACACTGTGCACTTTTTTAAAAAACATTTTTAAAATGCTGCTGCAATGTTCATTGTCAGCATAGGAAGTTCTGGTGTGCTTCCTTTCATCAATTCTAAACTTTTATGTGGAAGTTGTATTGATTACTGTAATAAATAAATAAAAATAAAAAAAAATCATTTTCATGCTGAATGCAAAATGTTGCATATTTTGGTTTTTGACGTGTGATAATTAGCACTTGATTTGATGCTTGAGCAACAGTTTTTTTACAAATAGAAATTAAATGTATTATTTGTGTGATGAATGCAAGCAATGAACTATTGTTTGCTACTTTATACGCAAGTTTTAATCAAAAAAGGAAAAAAAAAATTAGTTTTTGAACTAAACTCATAAATAAACTAATTTAAAAAAATCAATTTATGACACATTTTTAAGATCTCAGTAATGAAAATCTAAAATTAAAATTTATTGTCAAAAATGTTGTTATAGTTATCAAATATCTCAAACACAGTGGCGGAACTACTGGACGCAGGACCCTGCGTTGCGGGGGGGCCTACCAGCTATAGTGTTCCCTCATATAAAAAAAGTTATACTCTCAATAATATTTATACTATAAAACTCTTTTCCGCAAAAAAAACATTCTTTTGCGGGGGAGGGGGGGCCAAATTTTGAAGTTCCGCCACTGCTCAAACATATGACTTAAAATTAAATTTTGAACTGTTTTAACCCATATCATTCTTAAAAGAGTGACACTAAAGCGAGACTTTTTTGAACGTGTTTTCCGATAAATAAAATAAAATAAGTCTTTATAAATAAATAAGTAAAACATAACAGATATAAATAAACAAGTCCTTTTTCTGAAAAAATACGTATAAATTGGTAAAATCTTAAAAATTATTTACAAAAAAATTAATTATTATCTTATAGTGGTATTTAGTTACATTATAATTTAATTAATTATTTTCTAGCAAAAGTTTTTTATTGGGGGTTTTTTGCCGTTTTTTATGGATTTTGACTCACTGTGAGCCGGGGCGCACCGGTAGGGAACTTACCTCAGAAACAAAGGATACGTGGTGCAAACTTTACCTCTGGGCAAGTTTTGATTGATACCTAAAAAAAATGTCATGCATAAGTTATAACTTATGCATGACATTTTTTTTAGGTGAGATGAGATTTAGTTCAATTATATTATAATATAATTGAACTAAATCTCATCTTTTTATCTTCTCAGAGTTAACTAGCCAAAGACAAATGAGTTTATTTGATTGTTTATTTGAACAAAATTTTTAAAAAGCAGTCATATTAATTATCAAAGCAGTGAAACTTTAAAACGTAAACAATATAAGATATTCTAAAAGTAAAAAGAACAAATGATTTAGCAATCATGTAGAAAGACTGTTAAATTAGCACAGTTAATAAATACCCTTTGTAACTATATTATAAATGTAGAAGAAAATATTCTGGTAGCTTGAATAAAAAGATTGGGTTTTAGCGGTTTATATAAAGAGGGCTTAGTAGAACTGAAATCCATAAATGCAACAGAAAGGATTTAAGAGTTTACCACTGATAGTAAAAGCAGTAATGATAAAAGTAATAAAGATATTTTGCTGACATTGAGAGAAGACCTAGCCCATTGGCTGTTAAATATTTAGTATTCTAACAAGAGTAACTACATTGTTATAACTTTTGTGCAGGTCTTCCAGCACGAGTTATGACGCTATTAAAAATGCCTTGAAACTCAAATGTTATCATAAAGTAAGGTTTGAGAAAAGATAGCATTGAAAAAGATTAAAAATGGTATTTTGAAATCTATTTTAAGCAATGATATATACTTTGTGGAATTAGTTTTCATCATTGACGGAATACCAAAAGTATTTATGAAACAATTCCATTTGTTGTGGCGATGTTTTGTGGATTACAGAAGTCAGTAAGTTTAGAGTACTTGAAGGACTTTACGGTGGAATTAAGAAATCTTAGGGTACATCCATTAAGTATGTACACAGTAAACCCACAGATTTAGGAGTCTTTTTCTCTTGTACACACCTGTATGCTTTTTGTGCCCCTTCCTCCTTCAGCGTGTTTATGTATTATTGCAAAATCAACCCCTTGCCCCAATCCATTCCCAATGCTTAACTTTTTCAAAACATTAAAGACAAAACTCTTTAAGTTTTATTTTGATATTACTCAAAAAAGATTTATAAATATTGTTACATTACAGAATCATAATTTTTTTAACTCCTGAAATTCGATGCTTTTGTTAATAATAAAGAAATCAAATTTTCAAACAGGTAGAGAACGAGAATTAGTCACCCCGTGTGCGCACTTTTTGTCTTAACAATCCCCACCCCACATCAAAACATGCGTACAAACTTTATGGAAGACGTCTTATGGTAATTGACATTTATGATAATAATGGAAAAATCATACAAGTAAATAGTAAAATATTTTAATTTGTGATGCACCAGCAAAAGATCTAATTTAATTACTATTGGTCGTTATGGATGTGATTTTAATGTAAAAAGAAACTTATCATGTTTGAATGATGTTTATTTACACTAGTACTCACTGCTAAAACATATTGAGAAAAAAATCAGAAAACTTATTACAAGGATATCATCGCCGAGTGCCTGGATGAAACTGAACCTCAATGAAAACACTCCAAAAAACGTTTTATATCATTCTTATATATTTAATATATATTAGTTATAAAAATAAAAGCATTTGTTGGGAAAATTTTGAGAAATGGTCCTTTAAAACAAAACTGCAAAAAAAAAAAAAAAAGCTATGAAATCTTTTTTTTAGAGTAATGCAAAATATAGCTTAGTTAAATTTTTATATCTAGTTAAGTTCAACTTAAATAGATATAACAATTTAAAAAACATAGAATTGCAGGCTATATAATTAAATATTATTAGCATTAAAGTTTAGGATAGCCTTAGAGTAATTGTCCATATATCTTGGTGAAGAAATGTCTTTTATTAAGTATCGCTCTCAAACCTCCAAGAATGTTGAATGTGAGTTTTGTAATTCTTTCTCTAAAAACTGTCTAAGACCCCTTCCTGTTATGTTGATGAACTACTCAATATGTGTGAGTAATACATAAAGCTTAGGGGTTTCAGGTACTTCAAGCTCTTCATGTAATGACCTCCTTAGATTTTTAAAAGCATTCTTATATTCAGGATTTACGGACACTTAAAATGTAGAGGCAATGGTCTTTAGAAAATCATGCAAGTATTCCGAAAAAGCAGACAGCTCTTTAATAAGTACTTTCTCGAATCTATTAAGGAGTCTTAAAACTTTAGAACACTCATTACCTTTAAGTGTGTCACTATAACTGAGATTTAGGGGAGAGTGGGGAGAAGTAGGACATATTTCTAGAATATTTTTAATATTTTTTTTATATAATGTATGCATTGCACCAAATATTTTTTAACAAATAAAGTATCATTTCGGGCTCTGATTCCATCCCCTAAGATTGAGGGAAGCTTATAATAAAGTATATACTTTAAAATTTACTATTTTTAGACTTTGCCATTGAGGTATGCATCTTTTGGAACTGTGTCATTGGGGTAAAGTGGAACTATTGAGTAAATTGGAACAAGCAATTAATTAAAAACATATTAACAAAAATTATTAATTAAAAAATTATTAATAATAAAACTATTAAAACCGTTAACTACGTAGTCTTCCACAAAATATTTAAGAGTTTTCCACTAAATATAGACGCGAAATTTACATGAGAGAAAAAAGAGATTTAATTTTCGTTTTATTTCATTGAATTGTACTTTGATTGTACTTCACTCCAAAACGAATTGGGTTTTTGAAGGTACTTTTCGAAAATGTGGTTTTTTACCACACGCAAGGAGACAAAGTGATGTTTAATAAATAGAAGTGGAAAAATCTCATTATTTACATTAAACAACATTAATTAAAGACCTCTCCTAATTGGAGGTTTTGAGATGTTCCACTTCTCATGCGTCCCACTTCCCTTTATTATTGACTCATAAAGTTTAATAGAAATTCTCAAAGCTTGTGTGATATCGTATCATATCATACTTATCATTTATTGTTTAAAATAATATCGCAATTTTAATCAAATTAATTGTGTGATATCGCTTCTGCAACCTAATTTTTTAACTGATATTGATATTTTGATTTAATTGATTGTGTGATATTGTTTTGGTACTTTAGTTTCTCATCTTCTGTCGGTACTTATATTAAATCTTATGTCGAGTTGTAATTTTTTTAATTTTTAATTTTTATATTTTATTTTACATTTATTGTTTACCTTCATACAATATATAAAAGAGAAAAAAAAATTTCAAATGAGTAAATCAATAAAAATAAAAACTTAAAAAAATACCATTAGATCTTGTTGCAGAGAACCACGAAAAATATTAAGAAATAACAAAATACCAGAAATTCTCGCTTGGTATAGTCTTTCATTTTGTGTTAAACATTCAACAACTAAAGTAAATTAATCTTCATTCATTATGTCTTTTATTACATCATCAACATCTTTTATTACATCATTAACGTCTTTTATTACATTATTAACGTCTTTTATTACATAATTAACGAGTTTTATTACATCATTAACGTCATTACATCATTAACTAAACACCATTAACTAATCCTCTAAAAAGCAATCTAACTTGTATTTTGTTAATAATAAATTCAAAAGATCACATTTTCATTTTTTTCCTAATTGTGACTATACGACCATTTGATACCACACGACTCTTATTATAATCGGTATTGCGTGGTATCAGACCAAAACTGATGGTATCGACATAAGTATATAAGGGGTACCATATGATACAAGATCATCCTTCTCGGGATCGACTTTCTTGTGTCTACTTTGTAGTGTTATTTATATTTGATATTCATTTTACCAAAAAAAGTAAATTTTTTATTCATTTTCAGCTTCAGTTTTATTTTTCTGCTTGAAATGTGCAGAACACATTGAATGCCGCAAAAAAAATTTTTGTTAAAAATGTTAATTGTGTCATTTTATCTTTTTAATAAAATGAAATACTTATTAAAATTCACTCTTTTGAAATTTTAAGACAGTGAGTTTAAGTAAGCCCCAAGTTTTTTAATGTTACACAGGTTAAACGCCTTATTTTTCCACCAAACAAGTAGTCGAAGGATATGATATACTCTTTGACACATTCCAACATCTATGTCCGTGGAAGCAAAATCTGAAACAATTAACCGGCCTTCTGTTTGTGATATAAATATTAGGTCTACAAACATATCATATATGTTTCTTTATCACATATAGGTTTCTTATCACATATGTTTCATATGTCTCGTATATGTTTCTTATCACATTTGTTTCTTCTCAGGTTTCATATTTATATTCAAGTTTCTTCACAAACTACATATTTATATTCTAAACAGAAAACCAAAGTATTGTTTCAGATTTTACGGACATAGAGGTGAAGTTGTCCAAAGATATGGAGATAAAGTTGAAGCCAAGCATTAAATAGGATTTTTTGATTGTGTTTATAACTCAAATTTTTTTGTTTTCTTCGACAGTTTTAAATAGTTTTTCTGAAAGAAAAACTATTTGAAGTACCTTGTTTTTCTTTCTCCTCATAATGCTTTTTACTTACTAAAAAATGGATTCCATATTAATTATTCATGGATTCCATATTATTATTTCAATTAAAAATATTCAATTTTAATTGAAATAATCAAGCTGTTTTTAAAAAAACAATACCACGAAAAATAAAATTAAATTCAATCATAGAATAATAAATCATTTATAGTTTACAGTATACAGTATTCACATACTGTTAAATTAAAACTGCATCAGGTTTGTTTGTATGAAAATATGCCGTAAAAAAGTTTGTTACTGCGCTAATAAGTTCAATTTTTTAAACTGATCGAATATATTTAAAAGTAGTTGTAAGTAATATTACGTAGTTTATAATATTGATAATATAAATTAGCATATCAAATTAACTTTAAATTAATACTTTTTTATAAAGTAACGGAACGCTTTTTGACACTAAAATCTGTAAAAAATTGAAGGGATCGTTCATAAATTACGTAACGCGAAATTTAACTAAAGGTGAGTTTCCACTCATGCGTTTTTCAAAGGGAAACGGAAAAATAATTACGTAAGCATGCGCAGTCTTCTTTCGGACAAATAAAAACCTTTATTACGCATGCTCACGTGATTATTTTTTCCTTTTCTATCCTGTTCCCGTAGAAAAACGGTAAGTGGAAACTCGCCTTAATAGACAAAAAAAAAAAAAAAATTAAAATTTTTCCCTCGCAGAGTTCTCAATTAATTCCACTATATAAACAACCCTTTAATGTCCGCCGCTCAAAAAAGCAAAATGATCTCCTAATTATATCTTTTAAATAAGTTTTGCATTGCGTAATTTATGGACAATCCCATAGCTCATTGCGCTAGTAATTATTTAACTATATAACTTATATGATTCTTATTTTTAAACCTTTATTTTTAAATTAAAAAAAAAAACTTATCATTTTTTATTTAACAGCTGGTCACAATTTAGAAAACCGTGTTTCTATAATAGGTTATTTTAAGTATTTTCATAAAATACATTTGTTAGTTTTTTTAAAATTAATATATATGCTTTATTATATAAATAATATTAAATTAATATATATGTTTTATTATGTAAATAAGGTATCGCATATATATATACCTTTTTTTTAAATATAAACAAAAGAGTATGGAGCATATAAAGATGACAAAGGTATTAAAGATGACTGTTTTTCTTTGCTTACTGGTGTTAACCTACTTTGCTTATCGACTGAAATTCAGAACTAAAAAACTAAAAATTTTTATTCACAGCATTACACATAAACGTTATTTGGACTTTTATACGGACAACAGAATAACCTTAAACATTTTGTCTTACTTACTGTTTGGAAACAACTGGGATAGATATACGGAAAATGTTGAATTTGTTGCAAAAGAGGCAGCAAACAATAGCTTATATAAAAACTAGGTAGTTCTAATTTATCACGACAAGTACACAATAACACCAATTATTGTTGCTAAATTAACTGAGCATTATCAAAATTTAAAGTTTTTTAATGTTAGTAACTTCGACGATCTAGAAAGTATTAACGGAATGGTGTGGAGATTTTTAGTTATTGCAGATTTATCTGTGGATGTTGCGTGTATTAGAGGCTTGGACTCAAAACTTTTGGAAAGAGAAAATGATGCTGTTAAAGTTTGGCTGGAATCAGGTAAGCTGGTTCATTCAATGAAAGATAATCCTGCACATAGTACACCAATGTTGGGTGGTATGTGGTGTTATAGGAATGAACTCAACAGACGCCTTGGAATGAAAATAGCAACAATTCGTACTGAAAGGTGCATGGATCGTGATCCCATCAAACAATTGGAAGCAAAAAAAGGAGATGATCAGGATTTATTAACTTTGTATGTTTGGCCGCTTGTCAGCCATAATGTATTAATACACGATTCTTATTTTTGAGATACTAGAAGTCAACCTTTACCCACAAAGATAGATGTCACTGGAGAATTTGTCGGACAAAACAGGGCAAAAACTGGAAAATTTGTTAAGTGTCCAATTGCATGTCGCCCAAAAGGACATCAAGATTGGGAATACTGTTAATATTATTAAAAGTAACTTTATAAATACAATCAAAACGGTAACGTGTTGTTAAAGCAAAAAGTTTAAAAGCAAAAAGATGTTAAAGTAAACTTTTCCTCTGTTCTTTTTTCTTCAATAGTACAACCTGATTTTTATCTTATTTTTAAAACAAGATTTAGACTTTAAATTTAGACTTTGTTTTTAAAACAAGATTTAGATTTTAAAACAAGATTTTTATCTTGTTTTTAAAACAAGAAACTTAATTTGAGTTTTAAAACAATTTTTAATTGACTTTAAATTTTGAATTAAATCGAAAATTTAAGTTACTTTATATAGTTGAATTAAATTGTCATATATATTATTGATGAGCTCTAAATTTTTTCCGTTTACCCATTTTTCCGTTGACACGGAACTCTTGGCAGTCATTAACGTCAAGGTAATGGCAAGAAAGAGTTATTTTTATAAGGAAGTATAAGAAATTTATATAGAGATATTTAAAAGTATATTTAGTAACAATATGTCATTTAAATTTACGTAAATGTGAAATACCATTTATACAGAGTTACATACATACGTCTGTAAGTGTAAACGTCTTTAGCACAAATTGAGTTTGCTTGCAGTATATGGACTGATCATAAATGCGTAAGACAAGAAAGTGAACAGACGTTTTTTTGCACACAGTGTTATAAAACAGGTTCTGACCTTAACTTCCTGACCTGAGAAAACCCTTAGGTGGAATGATAGCCCTTACTATGGGAATCACTTAGATATAAGTATCAAAATCAGATTATAACGTCTTGGCAAGTTATTTATTTTATTTTATCCCAGTTATTACAAAAAGTATTTTAAAACGTGTTTAATATACATATTAATACGTATTAAAACGTATTATAGACGTATTAAACACGTTTGGGGTTTAATAGAATATTTTATTGATTGCATAAACATGCAAAATGAGAGCTTATTTTGCTTTTTATAGCATTAAAAATATCCAGCTTACATCAATATATATAAGGAAAGCAAAAAAGTATATTCTTGAATTTATACAAGTAACAAACATAAAATATATTGATTGCACAAATATGCGATATGAAAGCTTATATCAAAACTATGATTAGTTTTTAAAAACTGTTTAAATTGATATGAAACGTATTTAATTATGACAAAATATTTTTCAATAATTTTCTACTTTTTAATTCTGGGAAAAAGCACGTTGTTTTTACTTTAATAATGAGAGCAAAACTGAGCACTTCTAATTTTACTGAAAATGCTAAATATTGCTAAAAACCACCAAGAATACAGGAAGACTTTTTTTTTTCTTTGTTTAGTAAATGTCAACGAGAGCTAACATCAAATCTAGAAGAAAGATGTCAGAATATACTTAAAGAGAAATTCGACTTTAATGATGACAAAGCTCCACTTGGAATTAAAAAAAAAAAATGTAAACCTTGATCTTTTATATTGCATTAATGCGTCGTATGACAAACCTAATATAAAAATTGTAACAGATAAGACATAAAAATTTGTAAAACAAGCTGACCGGACCCGGGTTTTGTTAAGTCTGCTCAACACAGACCATTTCTATATTATTTGTTTAGCCTCTTTATTTCATTATTTTTTAGTAAATGGTAACTTGCTACCATTTACTAAAAATTCCTCGTGTTACTCGAAATTTAATTTTCCTAAATATTTCGACACTAATAAAGAGGTTCCTCCTCTCCTTTTGCTTTAATGGTGGCCAGGTGAGTAGAGTTTTTTTTATTAAGAGTAACCAAGTTTTTGATGAAGACCTTTTACCAAAATAATAAAATGTAAAACAATGATTTACATATATAAGAATGTTTTCTTTCTTTCCTCAAAAGTGTTGCAATTGCACACTAAAGTAACTAATTAGTTAAACACGTAAATAAAACTTAAGTATCTCGATATTTGACAAATGCACTAAACTACAATATTCTCCATGTTTTTAAAGGTTTTTAGTTACAACCCCCCGTGTATAAAGATCCCCTAAGATACGTACAACAAATTATTAGGCATATTATAGATAAAATATATAAAAAATTGATTTAATTATATATTTATATCTTTTTAACTAACAAAAAATTACAATAAATGGAAATCAGGGTTTTTTTTATAAATCTTATAACGTAAATCTAAATTAAAAAATTAATGGAATTATGATATCAAAATTACAACAACAAAAAAAAACATAAAAATTGAAAATCGATTTATCTATTTATAGTAACCTATTTTGAAATTGCAGTTACTATAAACTTTTATCGAAAATGTAACTACAAAATCTGTTTCGAAGTACGAAAGGATTAATAATACTTAAAAAAAATCAAACTAAGAAATAAATTGCATTTTTAGCAAAATGTTGTTTTGGTCTTTAGTAAATAAATAAAAGCAGAAAGTTCCAATAATGAAACTACCTATTATTCATTTTTAACAATAGACAGCAACGGGAAGCATATTTTGAAACCCTATACAGGCTCAGAATAGGCAGAAATATGAGCAATCTGATTCGCTGATTTTGAAAGAGAGGCAAATGCGCTTTATTTAAAAATAAATTTTAAATCTAAACAGATTTTGAAATAAATTTCATAGTAATGATGAACTAAGTTTATTAATACAAGTCTTGTGTTACTATCAACATCTATTTGTAACAAAATCAATTTGTAACAAAATCTATTTGTAACAGAGAATTTTCACTCATAAAAATCTCAAAGTTTCAATAAAGTTCATCTTGGTGATGGAGGTTTTATCTGTTGTTAATTTAAAGAAATAGAAAAAAGTGTAATTCAAAAAGATCTTGTGCTGATTCTTATAATTATTATTATCCTTGTTGAGTTTAGTTATGTTTATACTAAAACTAACCTGTTTGTATATTTTAGTTTACATATTATTATATGAAGAATAAAGCTATGTTGGCTTAGAATTAATTATAGACTATTTAATTTACTACACTACAGATCTATAAATTTATTTCTCGCAAAATATGTTCTTGGCCTTAAAGCATACTTAAATACAAAGTTTATATATAGTTGTACAAGACTACTTGTGAAGTACTTTTGCATATGAACATTATATGCAGTTTTACCAGACTACTGATAAAGAACTTTATTTATAAATTGATTTATACGTTAATTATAAAGAGTTGAACATTAGAGTTTTTAAATAAAGAAAATTTGTACTGATTGCAAAACTAGCTTACATGTTCCATGTCAATATATGAGTTTTGAGGAAATTTTGTTTTCATGTTTTGTTTCAACTATTGTTTGGAGGAGACTGGTTTACTTTTTATTG